CACGTGAATCAAAGTAAGTGGATTCTCGAATTTTGTAGCTTCTGCTGGTGCGTCTTCGAATTTTAAAGCTTTCGGTGCAGTGAAAAAGTTGATTCTCATTTTATCTTTGCATTTCCCGTATTTCTGTATTTATTTGCATTTTGTATTTTCTAGGTTTTCATACCGTTATTAGCCGGAATCAGCCGGAATCACTTTTGATATTATAATACAGAGAAAAAGAAGAAAAGTGACTGAGCCTGACTGAGCCATTATAAATAAAATGGTAAGAGCGTGTAGTGTATTCAACTGTACATCGACGGGTATTATGCCATCTCATACTTTTCCTATAAATACAAAGATACGTGAAAAATGGATGAAAAGTTTAATTTTGAAACCTTACAAAGAAAATGAAATTAATAAACTACGAGTGTGTTATAAACATTTTAAGGAAAGTGATTATACTGGCAGTCCTAAGCTTCGAAGATTAATTCGGACTGCTGTTCCCTTTATGACAACAGATACATGCACAATACAAATAAACAATATTACAAAAAGTCAGGAACAAAACGTATTGCAACATCAGGAAACAATTACTGACTTACAATGGAATGTCGCACAGATGCAAATGAACGTAAGATTATCTGAACCAGAGAAACAGCAAGAGAATGTCGCTCAGATGCAAATAGATATAGAAAACTTATCTGAACAACAAGAAAAACAGCAAGAGAATGTCGCTCAGATGCGAATAGATATAGAAAACTTATCTGAACAACAAAAGAAGCAGCATGAGATTACTGCACAGAGATTACTGCAATTAGAAAAATTTTCTGAACAGAAAAATTTCATGCAGTTCCAAGCAAGTATAGAAAAATTGTCTCAAATGCAAATACAACATCATAATCAAATACAAGAACTAAAACAAGGTATCGAACTTTCTAAAACTAACCAAAATTCACAAGCAAGAAGTTCTAATCTGGCAAAAATAACACGGAGGATGAAGTTGTCTCCAACAGTACAAATACTTTATGATAATAATAGAAAATTGCAAGCACAAAAGAGACGCATGAAAAGAACTATAAAGAGAATGAAACTAAAAAACAAAACGAAGAAAATAATACTAAATAGGAGAAAGTATAAAGACCAAGAGGATAGAACTACAAAAATAAACCAAAAAAACCAAAAAAAACCAAAGAAATAAATCAAAGTGCTTAATTAATTGGAGACGAACAATAAAAGGTGTAATGTGTTTATGGAAAATGCTTCAGACATGCGGATTTACTTCACTCGATTTGAAATACTGTAATCAAGATCATGTAGAAAATTTTTTCAGTGGAATTAGAAGACACGGACATCAAAACAATAATCCTACGCCATACTTATTTAAGCATTACAGCATTCAAAGCACTATTAACTTGTAATATAACGTCAAAACATTCTTTATCAGCAAATTGTAAAGAAGACGAAGAAAGCTTTTTACCTTTACTATCCATAATGCGTACAGAAGAAATTGAATGTGCAGAAGAAAATGAAACGATTGTTGAATGCGAAACAACGGCTATTTCAGACATATCAGATGTTGCCGACAGCCTGTATATAGATACAAATAAGATAGTGAATAATGTTAAAAAGAAAATAAAAAATTTAATTAACTGCGCCCAATGTAATGCAATATTAGAAGACGAAGAAACAATACAAATACTCGAATGTGTTATCGAATTTGCTGAAGAGCACTCTTATTTTTTTCATGAAACAAACGTCAAACAGAAATTTATAAAAACAATAAGTCAAGAGACATTATTTACAGTAAATTTCCACTGTACTGACGTACAAAATATTGCACTTGATACACTTGCACATTATTTTATTTTAGAATGATGTAATATAATAAATAAAATCTTGAACACAGGCAAATAAAAGTTGACTCAAGTAACATATTTATGTATCGCCGTGCATACATGATGTCATTAAAATATCATAGAAAGACAGGTAAAACAAAAATTATAATTTATAAACAATTTGCACAAATTATTACAGCATGTACTAAATATAATTTCAATATATATCTTTATTGCAGTGTCTTCTGGAAAAACAATTTAACATATAGAAAGAAACACCAATATACAAATTATTAACAATGAAAGAAAGCCTATTACGGTCAATATACATATATATATATATATATATACATATATTGATGTACATATTTTTATAATATTATAATAAAGTGTGGTTTAAGAATGAAACAATGTTACAATTTTTTTAGGTAATAATCGCAAAAAAAAGTAAATATTGAATATTAAGATTATAAAGCATGTGTGGTCTGTATGTACAGACGTTCATCTATCTCAATCTATCTCAGTCGCTCTCTCACTCACTCACTCGCTTACACACTAGAAAGGTTAGTTCTCGTCCGTGAGCCCTGTCACTCAGTGAGGGCGCTGCAAACCGTGGTACATCGAGAACAATGGGAGTTTGTAACCCCTGACGACCGGCGAGTTGAAGTGAACACGTACAACATAACCTCGAAAACCAAGTGTACTGACTGAATGAATTTCATGCTAACTGCAGGAATCCGAAAGAAAAGTTACGTAATATATTTTCATTTATATCATGCGAAGAGGTATACGATTTGCCGTATTTATATGTAAGATATATAAGATATATTGAAGGTCGAACATTACCTATTGTCCTCAGGTCCTTCATAGCTGACCCACACAGCAATGGAGATCTATGGGGTATACTAAATAGACGTAGCACATTTTATAAAAAGTTATGCTAATTGTTTTAAAGGAATAAATCCTCGTGTAAAGACATTTTTTTGAAATGCATAGGACAACTTATTTTTGCGCAAACATTACAAGAAGCAGAGGAAATATAATGCAATAATTATTATATCTAAAAAATGAAACTTATACTGACTAAATCGATACCTCTTGAAAAAGATCTTAATTCCCTCGAAGATAACGAATTAGACTTACAATTAGACGTGCCAGATAACGTAAATAACATGGATAGTGAATGGGCTAATAATATTTATAGCAAACTGTCAAAAGCATTGATCAATAATGGAGATCGGGCTGATGCACATTTTTAGCCTTCCTTAATTGATCGTATAATACGTGATATTAAATGGTATCCTTTATGGTCGTGTAC